CTTGATGTGGTGTTACTTCCTAACTCAGTTATGCCATGGCTCCAGGGTGTCAAGGAAAATAGATGTCTTCAATAACACCTATTAGACAATGTGTGTACATGGTGCTCCGCAATTCAATGAAGTGGTGAGCAGATGGAAGCATGGGGGTGAAATGATGCCTAGAAAAGCTCTTCTGCTTTTACCTGTCTAGAAGACTGAATGCTGTTGACAGATGTTTTGGCTGTGCAGGGTGCTTATAGTTCACTCTGCACTGAGATTTGTGTGTTTATAAGCTTGATATCTTCTGTCACCTTCACTTTCTCTGTAAGGAGAGAAAATATCCCGAGTTATGGCCTCAGAGAGTCTTGTCTTGGTGAGCACAAGGGATGCACAAGGTCTGAACCCATTCACTACCTGAGCTGGTCAAGCCCAGTGCACCCTGGAGAGGGGTAGGGCCCAGAGTGCCTCTGCTTCGAACATCCCGGATTTGATGCTGGCCTTGTCCTCTGCTGACCGATCCCAATATTGCAATTCCTAAACCCCGTTGTCCCCTTGGAAGTCAAATGCTGCTCTTTTGAAGGAGTAGTGAATTTGTGTTATAATCTGAGATTATCCATAGTCTGTGGAACTATGCAGACTATACAGAGCTGTGCAAATGAAGGAAATTATGTCATATAAGACTACTGATAATCAAAGGCTGTTTTTGGTGGTTTTCATGTAGCAGAGTCTTTGGTGTTCCTCCTGGAGAGGCCCTGCTGCCCAGCAGGGTAGGTGGCTGTGGCACATCAGTTCACATCAGGGTCATGAGAGGAAATATGACCTTGCTGCTGTGCTGAATGAGGCTCTTGACATTTGCTTCCTTTTGGATGGATCACACATGATTGCCTCTGAGTGCTCTGAGGTCAGTTCATGCATGTTCTACATTTTAGCATTATCTGCTGGAAGTTCTAGTCCCTGTTTAGGTATTTTTCTGGTGGATGTTTAGACAGCTGTACTCCAGAAGTCTGTATTTATTTGTAGGCATCTTTCAGTGCCATGATCCAGCAGGTACTATCTGAATGGCAGTGTAGTAATCCCTGGGTGAAAAAGCTTTGTAGTAAATATATCCAGAATTCTTTTCTCTCAAGTTTGCATTATGTTCTCATTCAGACTTCCTCCATTGATCTTTCAGCAGGTTGAAGGCTAATAGGGAGATGGTGTTTGGTGTACAAGCTTCTTTGCACCGGAGAAATGTCAAAACTTTAGGTGGTGAATCATAACCTGCTATAAGATCAGTCACATTTTTGGTTTTGTACACTGGAAAAAGTCAATCCAGAAATGACTGAAGGAGACTTAGTAGCTCCTTCTAGTTGTTCAGAGCAGAAATCTATCAGAGCAATAAAGACAGTTTATGCAGTCCAGCTCAGTCAGAGATATGTTTCTACCCTGTTTAATAAGGTAGAGGAATGGCAATTGCAATGTGGGAGTTGTCTGGAGCAGGTAAGTAAGTTTTAAGACTGATTGCCCTATAAGCAACTAGTAGACATCCTGGGATCACTTCTCAACTCTAAAATCCCAGCAAATAAGTAAACACAGGCATTGATGAATGCTGACAGGAATGGTGAGTTTAAAATTAGGCATTTTATCATTCCTCACGTCACACTTTCCTTCTTGCAAATCAACCCCACTTCATTCAGACTTTGAACTTTCCTTGACCTCTGCCTTTCCTCTTTGCTGGTTGTTCCCCTCTTTCTTCTCATGTATTACTCTGTACATGAACCCTTACCTACATTCATCAAAGCAACCCCTGCCATGTAACAATCTCTGCAGTTTCTTATTAATTTCACATTGTATTTTGTGTTGTCTTCAACATTATATTTGACTGTCTACAGTTACCCATTCCCTTTGCTGCTAAGCTGCAACTGATTATTCTTCACTATGTGCAATCACTTCCTTTCATCCTCAGTGAGCTGTACATGTCTTTTTCCATATGTATCTTTGCTAAGGTCATTCTGAATGCTGACTCTGTCCTGCAGCACTGCCATCCCTCACAGCTTGCAGTCACCTCTAGATTTACTAAGTGAGCTCTTCCCTGTGGGAGCTGAGCAGGGAGTGAGGCTGTCCAAGGCACAGCATCACGAAGGGAGCAGAGAGAGGGAACTAAACCACCGAGAAGGTTTTCCTCTTGTGCTTCGTGCTCTGTCCCTGGTGAGCAGCACATCGTGAGGCCGGGCAGCACTTGCTCCCCCACAGCCGAGTGCATTTCCAGGTGCATTTCCTTGCTGTGTGCTCTGCTGAGCACTGCCTGGCCGAGCCCAGCTCCTGCAGGCCAGGCTTTTAAGGTCCTAGGCCAGCCTGAAGTGATTTTTGAGTCAAGTTAGGTGGCACGAAGATATGCACTCCTGAATATTCCTGCCTTTCCAAGAGTCCACCGAGCTTTTCTTAGCCATGTGTTCTAAGCTGTGGCAAAAGGAGTTAAGTGCTACAAAAAAATTTCCCCTTTGCAGCTAAAACATGTTGCTTCTGAGTGTGAGTGTCCCTCCTTGCTGCCTTTTATGACAAGAGGATGGATGGATTTCCCAATTTACTCTTCTAAACACACTCAATACTTTGAATATCTAGATTTGTCTCTTCTCTGCCTGACAGTGAGAACTGAGCTTTCACCTCTTTTTCTTGCAGAAATATGTCTGTGCTTCTAATTGTTGTCACCTGTGTCTGCACTCCTGAATTTCTGCTGTGAGTTTTGCAGTGGGATATTCAGAAAGAGTTCCAGGCCAGAGATGACCTTTGCATTTCTATATTATTAATTTCTCCTGTTTTGCAGGTGAAAATTTGAATTGCTCCAGGGAGCAAAGATTTCCACTGAGCAGTGAACAAGAGCTCTTCTGTGCTTCTTACAGAGGAGCCACAGTTACTACAGACTGAGGAACCTAAGATAGGTTCTCACCTGCAAATTACCACCTATTTATCAACCTAATTTAAGTTTCAAGGCTCAAACAGATGTTATTCTTGAAACCTATTGTGGGTGAAGGAGCCTATTGCTGACTGCAGGAGCACAGCATGGGTTGCCTCTGGTACAGTACTGCTTCAGTTTCACCTCAGCCATCTTGTTTACTTTTCCCAGCAAGATGGGGAGAGAATTGAAAGGGTAAAAGTGAGCAAAGCAGTGAGCCGAGATAAAGACAGTTTAATAGGTAAAGCAAATCAGAACAAGGAATTCATTCAGTGCTTTACATCAGCAGGCAGGTGTACAGCTATCTCCAGGAAAGCCAAGCTCCATCCATAACTGTGACTTGGGAAGACAACACCATCACTCTGAAGGTGTCTGTCCCTTTCTCCTCCCCAGCTTTTATGGCAGAGCACGACAGCATACAGTGGGAGAAATCCCTTTGGCACTTGTGTCAGCTCTCCCAGCTGTGTCACCTCCCAACTCCTTGTGCACCCCCAGCTGCCTCACTGGTGGGGTGGGAAACAGGAATGAGATTTTGCAAGCCCTGCTGAGCAAAAGCTAAAATATCCCTGTGTTATCAACATTGTTTTGGTCACAGATCTAAAACAGAGCGCCATAAAAGCTGCTATGAAGACAATTAACTCTATCCCAGCCAGTACAAATACTTACATAGAACTGAGCAAAATCTGATACTTTTCAGCTTTGGCCTCAGATGAAACAAGCCAGAAGTGCCATTGCAGTGCTTTTGTAATCATTATCTCTTATTTATTTGCATTGCCAGAGTGCATCCCACCACTTGTATTTGGCTTAGTTGTTCCTTCCAGAAGAACATCCTAACTGCTTCCAGATATCTGAGAAGCCAGAGGAGCCAGCATCCCTTTGGTAGTTTTTTCAAGGGATAATAATTTCCTAAGGATTTGACAATACACTGAACAACATCTGTCTCCTTGATGACCCTCCTGTGCACTAGAGGGTCTATTGGGTTCCCCTGAAGGCATCCCTCCTCCAGACTGAGCCACCCCAGTTACCCTTGCATCTCCTCAGGGGCAAGTGATAGAGTTCTCACCCCCTTGAAGCCCCTCACTCCACTTTTTCCATGGCCTTCCTGTATTCTGAGCCTTCAAACTGAATAACTCTGCCTCAGATGCAGTCAACAATTCCCAAAAAACCCATTCCTTCCCTCTAACTGCCAGCCAAACTTCTACTAACACAGCCCAAACTGGGAACTTATCCAGATGAAACCCCACAAAATGACAAAACACAGGTATCTTGGGGTTTGTTTTCAAAGACAAAGGTGTCTCCAAATCTGGTTCACATGCAGCTGTGCCAGCATTACTGGAACAGTACTATACCATAATAGCCAAAGAGAAGGAGGGATAAAAAGGGCTTGAGGAAATCAATGCTATGTTCAGGAGTTGCAGCCTCATTTGTATCCCCAGCCCCTCAATTTTACTCTTTTCTTCCTAAGGAAGTAACTGCTTAATACTTAAAGTTTTGTGCCCATAAATGTCTCCTCGTACCAAAACGCTCCATACAGTGCAAGCACAATCAGCTGCACTACATTTTCAAATGCATGATTTCAGAAAAAAAGGGCAGATGTTCAGAATATTTCTCAAAAGTGCCTCATTTGGGCTTTATGATAGCCAGTAAGGCAAGGCTGAAAAAAATGCATCATCTGATCAAATAACATCTGTATGTAGCTGCAGTACTTGTTCCTCTTCCTTCAAAGTGCATTGGATTCATCAATAATCACACTTGAGCACTTAGTTACTCAAAATAAATCATTAAAATGTCCATGAGGATTTTACTATAGCGTTGTTCAGGATGCCTATTCTGAAATAATGGAGAAATGTATTATCTAGTCAAAAGGACAAGCTTATCATTTATGACCCTATTAAAGATGATGTTATAAAATTCACTGTTGCATTTGAAAATTGTCGATATTGAGATGATGGATTTTCTTTGATTACAGCTGGCAGCAAGCAGTGCTAGACTATAGCCAAGGAAGCCTAGTATGGGTTTCAATAAAAAAAGGACAACAAAAAGAATTACTGATTGCAAATTTATTACATGGAACAGCAAATTCCAGACAACTGAGTCACAAAATAGACAACCAGTGCAATGGGAAGTCTCTTTCCTTTATGTAAACCAAGTCATTGAGCTGGTAAATGAATCCATGAACTTCACATTCCACGATATTCTGAAAGAAATTAACACAGTATCAGATTTTATGTTGAGATGTTGATCTGAATATGACTTACTACTCAGTTCTGTACATCTGGTTCTTTTCAAAGTTAGGAATTAAATAGCTTCAGATTCTAAAACGAGAAGATTCTGATATTTAAAGGTCTAGAAAAGCACAGAGATCTGTTATTTGTACTCAAACATGAATCCTTTCTTCTCACACAGTTCTCTCTGTACCATGTTTTAACCATGCTGACCTTATTTTAGGGTATGGAAGCATGACAAAGAAAACCATCCCTCTGTCAAGGGGGTGCCCTCTAAGTCTCTGAGCATGGAAAACCCCTATGTTTCTGTTAACACAGCTCTTAGTGGCCATGTGAAATGTTTGTTTCTAGGTTTGTAATGCTTCTCAGTACCTTCTTTTCTCATGAGGGTCACCATTGGTGAAATATCAGAAGAAATTCTTGACACTTTTGGTTGCCTACTTACCACTGCCTTCAATAGTTCTTCCATTTCGAGGCTGTAAAACATAATAATTAGATGATTGTAAAAAAGCAATGGATTACAGATTTAGAAGCACACCAAAATACCTCCCCATCATGCAGACAGGGTACTACATAAAACTGCAGTGAGATTTTTCTTTAAAACAACATGTCAAATACCAGAGGGATCCATGCAGGATGAGTTATCCTTTTGAATATGAGAAATTTTCATTCAGCCTCTGCCCAAAAAGCTAAACATTCTGGCTTTAATTATTCTCATTCAGGATCTGGGTTTAAATTCATAAGTGTAGTAAAGGCACATGCCTAAGAAAGAGCATGTAAATACCAGCACTGAAAGAACCTAGATGAACATACTAGAAACAATAAATAACTTGAAATTAAGCATAAATGACAGTGGAATTGGTACTGTGGTTACCTGACATGACCTACTTTACAGTATTTTAACTTATTAAAAAATGTGTTGAAGATATTCCTAAAAATTAGTTTGGTATTAATCAGAGTGTATCCAAACCAGCACACTGGGCATCAGACCATGTCATAGCTCAGGAAGCCAATGGTTGAAAGGTGTCAGAGAAATTATGATAATTTTGCTTTGGCTTTTCCCCATTATGCAGTGTGACTTTGCTTCCTGGGCAGACCTTTCAGACCAGGTGGGCACTCAGCTCAGTTTGATCTAATTTATTTAGCATCAGTGCACCTTGACAGTCTCACAGATACAAGCCACATGGATGATTTGGCTCAAGATAAAACATTTGCAGAGGCATATCTTCAAACAAAAAGAAGTGTTTAATCTACCAGTACCCCAGATCTCATTATCTTGTCATCTTTTAGTCAAACCAGAGCTTTTTGAGTAAATGGCTCCCTAAGCTTTCAAGCATAGGGATATTTGGCCTCTATTCAAAACAACTGCAGCTAGAATTTGTGAAACAGCTGCTCATCTATGAACATATAACAATGTCTGAGATTTACAATCTTTAAAACAAAGAGATTCAGATACCCTGAAAAGGAAGAAAGGCCGTCCCAGAGTTCCATGACTATCCTATAAAATCAAAGACAAACAATAACAAAATACTTTAAACTCAATTCCATAGATCTGCTGCCAAATTTTACTATTCTATCAGAATATTGGTAATTTGGAGCCTTTTCCAGCAGCATGCAAACAAGATGTTGATAGTCCCCAATGCCCATTCATCTGGAATGCTGATTAAAAATTATTGCCTGAAGGACATGGTGTCTAATGTAAATAAACTAGATTAACATAATTAAAGATTCACAGGGTTTAGAAGAAATATAAAAGAAAGCTTTAAACATAGGGTATGAGCAGGGTCAGCACAGATCACTTCCCAACCACTGGAAAAACCCAGGCTGACTTGAAAAGAAACAAGGAAAAGGACATACTTCCCTATCCACTGCTAGTCTTCATATTTACATACCTTCTTTGCAAGGTTTGCAGAAGCAATCTGTGATTCCTGCAAGTGGACACTGTAGGTTAATCAAGGTGCTGGCACGTTTTGGTTTGTTACAGTGACCCTCTGTTACTGATGAGCTTGGAACACTCCGTGTGAGAAGAGAGAACCTTACACTTACCACAGAGAGATGTAAGAACAGCAGCAAATGGATCTTTTAAAAGACTGATGCGAAGCCTTGCCTGGAAGTTACTCAGTTCATTTCCATCATTCAACAGGCTTCCCCTGCTGTACAGCAAAGTGCAGCTGTGCTCTGGGGGGTGAGGCAGAGCTCAGCCTGGAGCTCCACTCCTCAGGCTCGAATTGTACTGATAGCTCTTATCTTGTTAAAATGGGGCTGCCCTTCACCTTTCAGACTGCCCTTGGTTTTAACCCAGGAAAGATTGCTGGGTTAAAGCCCTCCCCTGCACTCTTTATTCTTCAGAAAATTGCTCATTTTTCTACTCAGTCTTACTTCAAGGAATAGAAGCTTTCCCCATGACTTTATGTGAGCAAAGTTCACCATTTGATGCAGTCCTAAACCTGCAGCCTGGTTTGGCACCCTCCTGCCCGTGACACAGCAGCCAGGCTGCATGCTCCCAGCCAGCCAGGAATGGGATGGCTGTGTGCCATCAGTCACCCATCATGAGTGGGTTTGGTTACCTGGAGTGGGCTTGAGAAACAAACACGTGTCGTGGGCAAGAATGTGACAGGTGAGAACGCAGGAAAGCATGTGGGTGGGAAACTGCGGAGAAGGAGTTTTAAAAGACAAAATACACAAGCAAGCAAAGGGGAATCATGGTTCAGGGTATGAGAAGAGGATTTCTTTGGTTCAAGCTGCAAGACAATTTATAGAGCAACCGACATCAACTTACAGGGCTATGAAATACTAGGGAAATACAAAATGCTTGCTCAATCAAGGTGCTTTGAAGGATGCAAAGGAGGCTACTACAGAGTGACAATATGAGTGCTACCTTTGTTCTGATTTGATTATTACACACCAAGCAATGATAGAGACTGGCTCATGACTCAGCCTGCAGTTTCAACTATCCTAATTTATAACAGGTGAGAGATTACTATGTGGAAGAAATATGGTAAAAACTGAGCTTTTAAATATCTTTGGGCTGGAAATCTCAAATACACAGGAAAGTGATGGGACATTGATGTTAAATATTCTTAGTTCTCACAAAACATTTTAAGTTCCCCAGGCAGGGTTCAAGGCCCATTCATACCCAAATTGCCATGGACTTTGCCTTTCACAGTGCTGAGGCCTCATTCCTTCTCTTAAGACACCATCAACCTTCTCTATAGGATCTGTAACTCTGACTGAATAACTTTTTTTTTTATTCACAGAAATATAGAATAATGTAGAAAGTTAAATTCAGCTGACATTAGTAGAATTTCATGGCTGTTTCATTGGGTTCACTACATACAGACTCATGTTTGTAGTGTCTTCTGAAGATGCCTTGTGGGCTAAGAAAGTAGGATTTCATGTAATATGAGATTTGATCAGCTGGATAATACTTCACATAATTCTTTATCCATATTTCACATATTTACTTTATCTGCTGTTTTACTCAGACCACACCTAGAAATCATATTGCAGGTGTGTAACTCATTTTTTGAAAGGATATTGTATGAGATTCAGCTTCCAATCTTGAGAACACATAGTTTTTGCAAAGTTAGTAATTAAAATAGTAACTAGGAATAAGACTCTGTTCAAAGTTAGCAGATGATTCTGGACATTCCCTCATTGGCTAAGCTGTGGAAGCAAAAGGGTCAATAGTGAACTCAAACATTTATTAGACTTTATGACTAGAATGCTATCATTTTTTATACAATCAGCTTCAGTATTGTAGACTTTAGTAGCTGCTTCAGGAAAGCATGCTTGGAATTATAATAAGCTAAAGACACTGGCAAGAACAGATATTGAAATGCATTTCAAAATACTTTCTATTGTTGTTTTAAAGGATCTACTCCTGTTTTGAAACAGCAGAGGACTCAGCCTCCACAAGTAAATTGGCCTTTTTAGCATATACCCGGGGGCTGAGTGAATTTTAGGGAAAAGGTTCTTAATGAATTGGTGCTAATAAAAAAGTGATATAAATCAGAACTGATACTGAGGTGAGTCCTTATATGACTGCACCAACAAAAAAGAGCTATACTCAATAACTCCTCAACTTAATCCCCTTACTCTGAAACAGAAACACTAAAAAACCCCAAACACAAACAGAGTATTAAAATTGGTAAAGCAACTCATACACCTCCATGTTCAGCATAATCTAAGGTTTGCTATTGATCCAATGTTATGTATATTTTTAGTGTATTTAACCCTGTGTTATTCAAAACTGAGGATAAGATACTGCCTCTGACTGTAAGTGAATGTTTTGGTTCTTCAGCTCTGAACTGGTGAAAAAAACAGCAGTTTCATATAAATAATTTAAAGTAACTAAGAATTACACGCAAACTACTAACAAAAAGAAAATCTTTTATGTACCCTCCTACATCTTTTAAACCATTGCAGTATTAGATTATACATTATTGTTTGGGGAGAAATGACAGAAAGTTGGTTGTGGAGTGGTTACTTTCTAAGTTTAAGAAGGGGGTGCTTTGAAACAAAGCAAGCAATTACATCTTACCTCATTTTTATGCATGCTGTTGAATATGGAATAACAGAGATCCAAAACAGTGCTCGAGATCTGAAAAAAACCCCAACAATACTTTAATACATTTACTGGGAGAACATGGTGTACATGGTTTGATTAAAAACAGGCTTGATTCTGATCCCAGATCAATTTAGATTGAGCACAGTTCACCAAAAACACTCAGAGCAGGGCAAAACTTACTGATGCTATTATGAGATGAAAAATTGCTGTTTTATTTGAGGAGAATACGCACAATACAACTGCTGTCAATACAGTCTGGTGCTATAAAGAGATCAAAATCAGCCTCTTATATTTAAAATGCATTTTCTATGCTAACAGTTCTAGGGGTAGCTTTGGTTTTTGGCATGTTTAATCTATGCTGATTTTTAACTACAAGCCTTTTGGTCAATCAGTACTATAGTCTTTAATCATATACTGAAATACACTGTCCTATACTCATTGTCACTGGACAGGGATTTGCTTATGCATGCAATCACATTAGATGAGAGCTACAGGTTCAAACAAAGTGAGGTGTAAGACACCTGAGAAACAGGCTCTGGAAACTATTTTCTACAAGTTTTGGTTCACAAAACTGTAACATTTCAGAAAGAAAAAAAATCAGAACAAAATATTCAAAATTTCCAAGTACTTCCCGATCCTGCAAATATTTTTCTCCCTGCTTTGAAAATGACCCTTGGGCTCATTAAATGCAATGCAGCTGATCTTCCACTTTGAAGTGTTTGTAAGCCTTGGGCAGCAGAAATTATCTGTGAAAACTTCCCCTTGCTCTGCTCTCCTCTGAGCACCTCAGAAAAACACCATCCACTCACAAAGCACCAAGCCAGGACCAAACAGGACCTTTAAATCCTGCAGGAACTGTCTGGCACTTCTTGCTTCAGTGTTAGCTACTATTGGCATAACATTGGCATGGCAAGAATGGGGAAAAAAAAGTGCTTTTCTTGAGGTCTGCATTAGCTTCACAAGGAGGAGAGCACACATACCAACACACTTGCCCTGCTCTCCAGAGCTGCTCGCTCTGTGGCAGACATCGATGCTCCAGGTTATACAGGACAATTAGTATGTCTGGAAGAGAGAGTCTCAGCAGATCAAACACATCACAGGAGTCAAGTTACCTGGGGTTGATCAGACATTTCCATCCACTGACTGAAACACAGCGCCAGTTGCTTTAAAAAGAAAAGAACAGACATTAACAGTGTGTCCATCATGCCTTCGGACCTTTTCGCTCGGGAAGTCGGGGCTGGTTTGTTATTAGCCTGTCCGTCTTTGGCTGACCCAGGTGTCCTATTCTGCACCGTGCTGCACTCTACACCCCTGCCCACACCTGTTCCACCAGGGCGCCAGCCTCCCTCCTCTCTTTACCAAGCCCCAGGGTATTCAATAAGGTATTCAATAAGGTATTCAATAAGGTATTCAATAAGGTATTCAATAAGGTATTGCCAGTCCGTTGCCGATTCCCTACCTCATTTCCCTGCCACAGAGCCCCGTTTCCCACCTTCCCCGTCTCTTCCCTACCTCAGCCCGGCGCATCGCTGTCGGACGCCAGTGCCGGACGTACCTGGTTCGGGGGCAGCTCCACAGCGTCCCGGTGGCGAGAGAAAGGCTGCGGGAAGCCTGCGGGAGGGACACGGCCGCGTTGGGATGCGCGGAGCCCAGGCAGGACGTGGCTCCTAGAGAGGAGCCGATGCTGTCCAGGCT